GGCTAGGCGTGAAGTGAGGGCAAAACTGTCTAGGTTTGTTTGTTTCCTAGGCCTTTTTTTTTTAATATAGTATTTTATAATTTTAAATATTTGGTTAAATAATTTTTATATTGATTAAAAATTAACAATAATATTAAAAACTTTACGCTTAGGCTTCGCTTAGTTTGAAATTTAACCTTCATGTTTTTTTAGAATACTGCTGCTTTTACCTATTTAAATAAACACCGTACAAGATGAAGCTGTGGACCGTAGAGTGTAAACCTAGCTAGCCTACGTGCATCAAATTGCTCGAAAAAAAAAGAAGTAAAAGCTGCCTAGACCCTAGTTCGTATATTAATCTCTGAAGTTGAGAGATTACTTCTCTGATTATTTTGCCAACTTGAGATGATTTAAGCCCTTGTTTGGCATTCATTCTCATTTTTTTTCTCTTTTTTCATTTCAACTATATATTCTCCCAATAAAATAAAATTTTTCATAATTTTTTCACCACACACTCCCATCAATCACTATTCCAAAAATTTTATTCTCCAAAAAGTGGGTGTCAGCTTCTATTACTTTTTAGGGAAATTTACAAAAATGGATAATTCCATATTTCTCAATTAAAAAGTGTCTAATTTTTATAACTCTTGTAAAAATGGCCAAATTCAAAATTTTATTGGCCTACAAAATATTTAATTGTACGCACATTTTTTTCTTTAGTGTGAAATTATAAATTATTAACAAGAGTACTTTGGTTTAAAATATTGCAAAATGGACATTGAACAAATTTTAGACATTTTTACAAATTACCGTGTGAAAATGGACATTTCTTGTAATTTCCTCTACTTTTTGATGTTGTTGCGTTGCAGAAAGCATTTGGTTCTATCTATTTCATACTCGATTAGCCCACCCTTGTGTCTCCACACAACTGGAGTCCCTAACTTTGCTTGATATGTAAAGCGCTTCTAGATACCATTACCTTCATATATTTTAATAACAAATTTAATTTAATTTTTTTAATTTTGAAATTAAAATCAAATTTAAAGCACCTAGAATCATTAGCCCAACCCAATTAAATTAATTTTGAACATAATTCATAAAATTTTCTTACTTTTTAACTAAAATTCTAAAAAAAAAAAAAAAATCATCTCAAATAAATACTTATTTAAGTTTATTATGTCATTGTTTGATTCTCATTTTCTCAAAATGTATTTTTTTTTTAAATCACACATTTTTCAATAAAATAATATTATACGTAAATTTACAATTTTTTTTTTTTATTTTTGAACGATAAATTATCCATTAATCTACTATTTAAAAATACATTATTAACATTTTAGTGGGACTCAAAACGGTTTTATTTATGGATCTTGCTACAAGTACATCAAGAATTACATAATAGGTTACATAATGCCACATGTCATTCTATCATTTGTCAGTTTTAAACATAGTCAGTTTTTTCATCCAATCATTCTCTCCCACATCATATTATGTAATATTTTAGGTACAATTTTTATGTACAACTAGCAAAATCCTTTATTTATTATTATCTTACCTAAGTACCAAACATGACATAAGATTTCTGTTCCTACATTTGAACAAATAATAATAATAATAAAAAAAAAAGTCGTACTTTCACAAGGACACACTGAAGGTTGAACGTCCAATGATTTGTTAAGTCAAACAATTACGCTGCAGGTACAGGAAGTTTTGACCGAATTGGTACAGGAAATTAAAATTTCTGACGTGGCAATGGAAACCGGCTTTTCTCCAAAATCTCACAAAACCAAGCCCAAACCGGTTTCCTCCAACCCATTCACTGGTTCCCCCGAAATCTCTCAACCCTCTGCCTCTTCTTCGCGATTTTCAGTCCCTGGTGCCCACGCCCACGCCCGTTGCAAATCCGGCAATCAATCCGTCGGATCTCCTCCCCCCAACGTCCGGCCGAAGTCAGTCCTCCATCTCCGGCAGTGACGGCGACGGAAGCCCACCGAAAGCCAACCTATTTTCCCGTCTTTGCAGATGACGCACGAAGGTAAGAAACCGGCTAACTCCTTGATTTTGATCCGCCTCGCTGCTACTAGGTAGAGTGTCCTCCTTTGCAGTACACGTGAAATGGTTTTCTTTGTCTGTACAATACGTGATTTTCCGAACANCATGTCATACTTATTAGTGAGATACGTAGTATCGAAAGTTACAACATCACCAAACTCCTTGTAAGACTGCCTACATCTATTATCTGCCCAGAATACGTTCTTTAGTCGTGCCTCCTCGTCCAAATCCATGCTGAAGTAAAATCCTGAGCACCTTGCTTGCATCTTCGAAAAGTACGACTGTATAGCAATGGCATCCCCTTCTCCAAGTCGCAATCGTCTTACTTGTTCGATGTAATTCCGACAATCCTTCTCCACAAACGTCATATTTTCATATCCACCGGCTGCCACAACCTCGGAGTTAAAACTCTTGTGCAAGGGGATTCCTGCCATATCGTTCACTTCAAGTTTTCGTTTCGCACTCGCAGTCAATTTTCGATTGCATCGGAACAACCGTGACTTCGAAGGACTTGTTTTATGATTGTGTTCGAGGCATACTTTGTTAATTCTCCATATTCCAACACTATCTAAAGACGCATAAATTCTGGCTCTACAGTCTGTCTGACTTGTTGGTTGAGGCTTCAATGAACCACCCGTTGCATAACTTCTTCGACCTTCACGACTACAAGTGAATGTGACATATCTCATAACTCCATCAGCCGCCTTTTTCGAATTTCGTTTCCTCACTGGTAAGCCAACGGCGTAAGCATATCTTTTGTAGAAATCCAACATTTCTTTCTCACTATTAAACATCATACCCACCTCTGGCTCAGTCGCAACATCGCCTCCTACATTTTCATTCTCCAACGTATTCAAATTTTCCAATATGTTCTCGTCATCACATTCCAACAACGATTCTTGATTGTCAGCCCCTACAATTCCTTCTCCTGCGACAATGGAAATGATTTCGTTAAACTTTGCAAAGTTATATATAACTAATATAGCATAACTCTTCATTAACATATCTCATTAACATATCTAATTTGGATGACCAACCCATTCACTGCAGCAACCAATTATTCAGAAATTGAACCTGATTTTACCTAATTTTTATCACAAATTCAACCAATTGACCTGTGGTTTCCAAATCACAAATCCAACCTTCAGAAATTCCCAAATCACGAATCAAGAAAAATAGATTACAGTTCTTCATTAACATAACTAATCGAAAATTGACTGCAAAAACCAATTACCAAATCAGCAAATTCAACACACAGGTCTAAAGCCCACCACTTCGAAGCATGTCGCTATGTTCGGAAAATCACGTATTGTACAGACAAAGAAAACCATTTCACGTGTACTGCAAAGGAGGACACTCTACCTAGTAGCAGCGAGGCGGATCAAAATCAAGGAGTTAGCCGGTTTCTTACCTTCGTGCGTCATCTGCAAAGACGGGAAAATAGGTTGGCTTTCGGTGGGCTTCCGTCGCCGTCACTGCCGGAGATGGAGGACTGACTTCGGCCGGACGTTGGGGGGAGGAGATCCGACGGATTGATTGCCGGATTTGCAACGGGCGTGGGCGTGGGCACCAGGGACTGAAAATCGCGAAGAAGAGGCAGAGGGTTGAGAGATTTCGGGGGAACCAGTGAATGGGTTGGAGGAAACCGGTTTGGGCTTGGTTTTGTGAGATTTTGGAGAAAAGCCGGTTTCCATTGCCACGTCAGAAATTTTAATTTCCTGTACCAATTCGGTCAAAACTTCCTGTACCTGCAGCGTAATTGTAAATCAAAATATGAACCCCGGTGGCAAACTGGTAGATAAATGAAAAAATGTGGTTAATATGAACCAAAAAAAAAAAAAACTGAAAACAAAAGGAAATTGAAATTCAAAGTTTAAAGGCTTATCGTAAGAAGCGCTAACAAAACTAAAGTACGTTAAAAATAAATATCCAGGTCTTTAAAGTTTCACAGAATATTCAAGTTGGTCCTTAAAGCTTTATTTTGTTCCAAATAAGTGATTAAAGCTTCCAATCATGTCATTCTATTATTCATGCAAATCCCATTATCATGCAAGCCTTAATCATGCAAATTCAAATCCCATTGTCATGCAATACCAAACTCTGTTTTTGTCGACTCTAACATATTAAAATTATTTTTTAAGTAAGTCATGACGTCAATTAGAATTGAAATGAGATTTATCACTTCGTCGATCCATTTAAACATGATTTGTCGATGGAAATAAACGTTCAATTAATATACCATGATAACAACATACACATGGAATTTGACGATAATCTCAACAACAAAATGCATAATCTAATATAAAGTTGCTGTTACTTTGTTTTCGGCCTTCTTCAACCAATCATATGTTTTTTCATAAAAATGGAAATGAATCATTATGGCACATGCCTATGACATGCCAAGTGAACGCAATATTGCCATACTTATGGGGATTTAAGTGACTTGTTTTGTCTAGAAATAATGAAAATGCTGTATATGAGATATCTTTTAATAAATATAGATTGGACTAGTCTCATCCCATTTAGATTGTTCGGCTAACATATGAAAATGGTACAATTCTGCCTCCAGGAATGTGAAGCTGCCACGCTTGTTACGGTGAATTGTTTGCTACGGATCAAAGAGAAGAACCATTAGGAAACTTTAGCGACTAATATGAACGAAAAATAACATTAGTGAAAAGTTGAAATTTTGCTGCAACTTTGGGGACCAACTAAAGCACATAACCAGCAGCAACAAAAAGGGTATTGTGTTTCATTTGATTGGCGCATCACCAGTACCATAAAAGAAACATTTATTCCATTTATATTCTTCAGGCAGCTACACTTTTTTTTCCTTCTACTTTTCTATCTGCTTGTGGTGCTTTACTTTGTTCTTAGTTATCTTTCCTCTTTCCTCTATCAAGATTAATACATTTTGGGTTGTTGTTTTTGTTCATTGATTCTCTAAGAATCTGCTTGAAGGTGTATTAATGGCCGACATTAGTCATCCTCCCATGGAACAGCTCCAGGACCTTGAATACTGCATTGATTCTAATCCTCCATGGCGTATGTCACTCTTTTACTCACACTTTTGTAAACATTATATTTGTAAAATTTTCATTTTTGGTTAGGGGGTTATACGTTACTTTTGTGTTTGTGTGTTGTATTGGTTAGAAATTTGTTTGAAGAACATCAAGAAATGGTTTTAATGAACAGTTACTCCCACATTTGAGTTGTTGAAACCTTAATTTACTGTCCTGAGAGAATGTGAGGAAGTGATATAGTGTGGCATTATTGCTATGTCTGTATTTGTGTCATTCTATTCCCTCACCACCCACCCCCTAGTTTTGGGAGCTTTTTGCGTTATCAAGAACAAGATGGCGTTTTTGGGAGTATTATTCAGTGGTGGTTGTCTTGTTGGGTGGTGGATGGTGTGTGATTAACTCAGAAACTTTCCTATTTTTTCCCAACCCACTCTTAAGAATGATGTTCACTTGTTAAAATATCATTTTTACATAGATGAGAAAGCGAAAAGTGGTTAGATTTACCTCGACCGCAGCAAGACATTATGTCTTATGACATGTTATGTTCCTTTGATCTTTTGCCCTATGTTGTTTTGCATACAGGTTGCGAATTTATTTCTTAAATGTTGAGCAAATTACTGCAGATTATCAGCATTCATAATGATTAAAATATTCAGTGACTAATCTTTTGTTCCTATACGAGTGTGGTAAATATCATTTAGGCCAAAATTAAGAAACATATTTTCTCATTATTTCCTCTCAATTCCCTAATATTTCCTTTTTCTCTGCAGCGGAAACAGTCCTGTTAGCATTTCAGAATTACATATTAGTACTAGGCACAAGTGTAATGATTCCCACATTACTTGTCCCATTGATGGGTGGATCTGATGTAAGCTGGTTTTTGAATTGATTTCTAGTTACTTTTGTTTTCTGCTTTGGAAAGACTAATGTTGATTTTTGTTTAAAGGTAGCCTTTCACTGGTGAGCTGATCAATATATTTTTACTACCTTAAATTATTAAAAATGTTATGTCTGGTTTTGCCATTGTATATTGAGTTCAAATTTTTCTCAGAGTCCAATATGTTGCCATAAAATTGCATATTTTTGTCCAGACCTGAATTACATTCTTTCGTATCTTGTCTGATGTGTATTCGCTGACTAAACCAGGGGGACAAAGCACGAGTCATACAAACTTTGCTTTTCGTAGGTGGCATTAACACACTTCTTCAAGCACTCTTTGGAACAAGGCTACCTGCTGTTGTTGGAGGGTCCTTTGCTTATGTCATTCCCATAGTATATATTATTAGTGACTCATCACTGCAACGAATAGATGAGCCTCATATAGTGAGTACCTTTATTCTTCCTTTCCCATTGCAAAATCCCTGAGTCTTTGAGTCTTAGTCTATTAGCTCTTAAATAAGGGGCATTGAACATGATGTTACTATTTGACTGTTGCGCAGAGATTTATACAAACCATGAGAGCTATCCAAGGCGCTTTAATTGTTGCTGCGAGTATACAAATAATTCTAGGCTACAGCCAAGTTTGGGGTCTCTTTTCACGGTATTTATGATTGTCCATTTATCTATGAGGCTAAACAAATACCATTTGCAGCAAAATATTTATGTTTTGGACTATCTTATGCAGCTTTTTTAGTCCCCTTGGTATGGTACCTGTCGTTGGATTAGTTGGCTTGGGCTTATTTCAACGAGGGTTTCCTGTGGTTTGTTTTTGCTATCTTGAACTTTACATTTTATAAATGTTTTTCATATTATAAAACAAACAAGTATTCTCCATCCCCTGTTATAATAACCTGTTGAATGCTATTGAATTTTCTGTTGCAGGTAGGGAATTGCATAGAGATCGGTTTTCCGATGCTTTTGTTGGTCATTGGCTTGTCGCAAGTGAGTAAATTGGGAATTATTCGAGTGTTACATGCTTTAATAATCTTTTCGTAACGTCTGTGCAAGTAACATTTTTCAAATTGCAGTATCTGAAGCATGTTAAACCTCTAAGGGATTTCCCCATTTTTGAACGATTTCCCGTGTTGATTTGTGTCACAATTATTTGGATATATTCCCTCATATTGACGGCTAGTGGAGCTTACCGTGGCAAGCCCAATTTAACTCAGATCAGTTGCCGTACAGATAGAGCTAATCTTATATCCACTGCTCCATGGTTGTACCTTGATTGTGTTAAAAGTGACTTTGATTTTTGACTCACGTTTCTCTGCACCATCTAAAAGTCTATTTTATGTTGTTTAAGGTTCAAGTTTCCATATCCTCTGCAGTGGGGCCCCCCTACTTTCTCAGCAGGTCATTCCATTGCCATGATGTCTTCGGTTCTTGTTTCAATGGTTGAGGTACTAAGGTGCACTTTCTCTATGTAATATTTGGATGTGGTCAATATGTAACTTAATGCTATCTCGTAGTTTTACTTCCATAAATAGAGAAATTAGCATGAATATAGTGAACTAATTAGCGTGAATTTAGTGTTTTACGAGTGCTTAATATGCCATGTACCTTTTGAACTCATCAGAAGGTTTCGGAAGGCATTGAATTTTACTTTTTATAGTTCTGTTTGAGGTGTCTATGTATACTTCCTGCAAGAATGCTGCTTAGCCTATTATTAAGTATAGGAATGTGGATCATTAGTAAAAATAATTGTTTACCTACATCTTGACTTTGGTTGTACCTGCAGTCCACTGGTGCCTATAAAGCAGCATCTCGTCTAGCAATTGCCACCCCACCTCCTGCCTACGTACTCAGCCGGGGAATTGGTTGGCAGGTGTATTCATTAATACTAAATTTCTGATTTTGTTGACTTCACATTTTTTTTCCTGTTGAAAAGTTGGTTTGCTGTCAAATGAACAGAGTTGAGCTAGCTTTTAAGCTTTTTTTTTTTACTGCCTTGCTGCCTAAGTAAGCCAAGAAGCAGGTATTAAAAGCTTAGTCAAACATGCTCTATGTTAATAATGCTTAGCAACCAGTATTTCAAATAGCGGAAAATAGTGTCCATGGATAAGGACTGCTTCACGAAATCCAGAATCAAGATTGTGTATAGTTTTTATATCTTAAACATGTGAAAGTTGAAAATGAGAACTCAATCTAGATGATTGGACAAAAATGGGTATTTGGATGAAGAGTAAAACGTATTAGCGATGTTGGATGATAGCGTATTATAGAATGACAATATATGGAAATTGTAGGTTTTGCTCGAGGCAACATCATATCTTTTTCTCGTTAAATGTTTGACGATATAGAAAAATAAAGAAAACTTGTGCTGGCAAGATTTTTCTAAGGCATCATTTCTCAATGCCTACTGCTTCTGTTGCCTTATTGTATTTGATATTGCTGGTAATACGTGTTGAGGTACGCTATCTCTTAAAAGAGTTGAGCAGGTTTTACAGTGTAATATTTTCAGGGGATAGGCATTTTGCTAGATGGTCTTTTTGGAACAGGCACTGGTTCCTCCGTTTCTGTGTAAGCATTCAAGAATGCACCACGATATCAATTTTTCTTGGATTCATTCTAGTTCTTGGGCCTTACCAGAATTGATCACATACGCGGGGCAATATATTTCAGGGAAAATGTAGGTCTCCTTGGACTGACTCGAGTTGGAAGTCGTAGAGTTGTTCAAATTTCAGCTGGTTTCATGATATTCTTCTCCATCTTAGGTAAGCACCTAACATGAAGCACATAAGACAACTATCAGAAGCATAATAACTATCAAATCATTTTGCATTTGATAATTCGTGCAGGGAAATTTGGAGCTGTTTTTGCATCTATACCTTTCCCGATATATGCTGCATTATATTGTGTTCTATTTGGCCTTGTAGGTATGGATTTACTGCTTAAATCATTCGTTGTCAATATCTGTTCACTTTGTAAGATTTGTAGTTTCCTGCAGGTTCAGTTGGTTTATCGTTTCTCCAATTCACTAACATGAATTCTATGAGGAACCTCTTTATTACGGGTCTTTCACTTTTCCTCGGGATCTCTATTCCTCAATTTTTCGGCGAATATTGGAGTCCACGTCATAATGGTCTAGTTCGTACCAATGCTGGATGGGTAAGTAAAGTTTAAGAAAGATGAATGTCATATCGTATAAAGATAAGGAGCGATAAACCATTATGGTAATCGTACATTATGATTTGTTTATAATGAACTTGTGAATCCAACATGAATAAAATGAAGGATCGGAAGACAGCATTTCCTGATGTTCTTTGCCGTTATATTTTGCAGTTTAATGCATTCTTGAATACAATATTCTCCTCACCACCAACTGTGGGCCTAATAATTGCCGTCTTTCTTGACAACACACTGGAAGTGGAGAAGTCAAAGAAAGATCGAGGAATGCCATGGTGGGTGAAGTTCAGAACTTTTAGAGGCGATAACAGGAATGAAGAATTCTATACATTGCCGTTCAATCTCAACCGATTCTTCCCTCCCACATAGCCCGATCTTTCAAAGAAGCTTTAGTCCTTCAGAAATCCTTATTCATTTAACACGGTAGACTGAGTTCCTTGGGACTTAAATTTATTGAAATCTAGGCGCTTGTTCAATTTTTTTGTGGGCCAAATGTAGCAAGGTCCAGGTAGAAGTGGTAGACTCTGTGATCAATCGATGCTTTATATTTGTTTTTTATTATGATGAAATAGAAAATAAATGATCGCATTTTTTCTCCTTCATTCTTCTTCCTTGTGTTCTTTTCGTTTCTTTGCGGTGGATGGAAGATGAACTCATGAGGGGTGTTTGAGACTGAGTAATTGCGAGTGCATGTGCGGGTGAATAAGTCTATTTTGAGAGTTTCGTAAAGATTAAGACAGTAACTAAGCATATTTGGTTTGTCTCTTGCCGATCTATATCCATGTGATTAGCTTATTTCTCAAAATAGTAATTCATATTTATAACACTGTGCTTTTTAACTATTTCATCACGTTTCGAAGTTTTATTCACTGTTTCTATTTTTATCATTTTTTTTTCTCTTTTTCTATCATCTATTAGTCCACGAGTTACTTTTTTCGAGTCTCTTAATTACATTATTAACATAAGACTTGTTTGAGTCCCATTTTTGTCAAAAAAAAAAAAAAATGCATTTTAATTTTTGAATAGTGTATTGATAGAAGATGTGTAGTTAAAACATAAGAAATTTTTTTGACTTTGCGTGCAATATTATATTATTTAAGAATGCGTGGTTGAAATATGGTCAAAATAAAATGTATTTTTTTGGAAAAAAGGGGCTCAAACAAAGGCATTCTTTTTTTTTTTTAGTCACTAGAAATGACACATTATTTAGTACTTTCTGTCGGAACTTTATCAGAGATTAAAAGAGAATAATTCAGTTCCACATATGCTTAGGCCTGTTTTCCTTCTCTTTTTGGCTGCTCCAAGTATGGCTAGCTCAGCTTGGCATGGGACTCTATGTCTCTATCTCAGGGAACTTTGATAGTTCAGCCAAGATGCTCTTCTTTCCTTCACTCTCTCTCTTCCAATCCCTGGTAAGAGTTTGCTTCTTATATTGAACTCGACATCCCTAACCCATTCGTGATGTTGCAAGTTCGTCTTCAACCTATGTTTTGACAAGAGTCATCCTCAATCTTTCAAATTTACAACAAGTTGGTTTTCACCTAGAATTAAGTTATATGTACATTCTTCTTGATATTGTCATTGACATTCCTCTCTATATGTTAAAATCAAGCCAGTGACGTGATAGGGTATTATAGAAATCAATGGCTATGATAGATTCTCTGTGCTAAATTATATAATCAGCGGAAGAAAACTAAATTATATAATATATGTATCAATAAGCAGCGGAAGAAAACTAACACCGTTGTACTAAATTCTAGAGTAGTTATCTTTGAATCGTAATTGATGCAGGTTGCGTAAATTGTAACCAATCTTTCAATCTATTACAGTAACGGGAAAACACGAGAGAAGTGGACATCTTGATAATTACTAAAAAAGTCTACCTCAGTAGACAATGTATATAGAAAAATGCTGAACAAACTTGGTGAATAGAACCCCTTTCTCTTTAATTTTTCTGTCAAAGGATATATTCACACTACATATTTTATTAGTTGCACAACATTTTGATTACGCTCAATCTTTCCCAATCTTTTTGATTATACTCAATGTCCCCCAATCTTTACATATTTTAACACTTATTTGCCCTTCATGCTTTTAAATATAATAAATACAAAAGTGCATCAAAGTCTTCTATATATATATATATATATACACACACATTCTAAAGCATGCAAAGAGAATATTTTGACTAAAACTATCATCAATGACATGCATATTATTTAATGGAAGGTTGAAGATAAAAATTTAACAAAAAATAAATTAGGAACATAAATATTGCAATGAGCAAATTTTGAGGACCTTAACTATCTATTATAATTTGTTGCAATAAACAAAGATTGCATTGTGAATACCTAAAGTCGTGCTAGATGGTATTTGTTGGAAAATTTTACCCATAATATAGAAGCTGAAAGTCGAAACACATGTCATTGTTTTGTGAGAATTAAAATTAGATTTTTAGTAGATTTTGAAAAATAATAATGAAATGTGTGATTGAAAAGTTGTGAATCCTATAAAATATATAATTAAAATTAATTGCTAACTTTGACTTCGCAAAAGAAGCACCCAATACTGAACTAGAAGCTCAATAGCCTTAATTTTTATCAAATGTGTTATGAGTGTATTTTTATACAATGTATTACTCCAAGAAGTCTATAACCTTGATGATTCCAACCCTAAAGTGTAATATTACATATTCTATATAGCATTAAATTGGGCGTGACAATATATAAATATTGGGTATAAGATTAATTTGGACGTGTTTTACTGCATTCCAAAACATAGGTCAATAACAAAGATGTTTTATGATCTTTCTCCTTTCATTAAAAGGAATTGCATCCTTAACGGACATCATAACAAAGAAAAAGACAGTCCTTAAAAAAATGTCTTGATGTTGATCATGATATCATCAATTAAAAAAAAATAAAAAATGGAACAAATCAGTTTACACCATTGGATTACACATATTAAAGGAGACTTATTAAGAATAACGCCCAAATGCATATTTGTTACATAGTATTGGATACAATTCGACTGTACAGCGAACAAGAGGATTTAATCCTTCGTATAAAACATGTCATAACTGTAAAGTTGAAGTGGAACTCTTCTGATATATCAGCACAAGGACACAGAGATTGTTGCTACAAATTCTGGGCAGCTGTTGGGTATCCACGCTTCAAATTCTATTTCTTTGCTAGGTTTTTCTTTGATTCCTTGCATGAAATGCTCAATGCAAGCAAAATCCTTCCCTGAAACATCTTAAATTTCAACAACACAGCATCAACAAGTCATGTTTGAATTCTCTAATGCTCCACCTAAAATAATATTTGCAACCCAAACAATATTAATGTTAGTATATCACACTCAACCTACGCAAAATTTATGAATAACTCAATAAGTGCAGTTTGGTGTGCAGCATTAGATGTATTGGACTACATAACAGAACATTCAAAGTTTTCTAATCTACCGTATGAAACTCGCCATAAATGTTGAGAATCCAATGTAGGTATTGTGAAGAATATTATAAATTGTATTATAATAAACTTGTTTCTATTACAAACTAGAAGACCCTATTTATAGGGTTAGAAATAACTGTAAAAGGAAATAAACATAAAAGGAAATATTACGTAATCTACTACTAAGGAAAGTAAATATTATAATCGCAATCTTTGACGATCTCTGTAATCTTATTCTATATTCTTGACATCCCCCCTCAAATTGATGCTGGTAAAAGTATCAATTTGCAATCATGAACTGACGACGACGACGATACTTGTCCACGAAGAAGAAATCCAAATCAAAGC